GACAGCATGGTAAGGCCCTGAGGCTGGAGGGGAGGGTGCACATGAGATGAGTCAGGGAGCCAGGCACAGGGTGCAGAGATCATTCACTCATGATGGAAACCACTGGAGGGCTTCGCCCAGGGGAGTAAAGTGATCCGGTTGGCTGAGGTGGAGTTGCAGGATGAGTCACGGCGCAGCGGCAGGGAGACGAGTCCCAGGGAGAGAAGGTGGTGGCAGCGGGGAAGAAAGGCATAGACAGATTTTAAGGGACAGACAGGATTCAGGCGAAGCCCACACACAGCCTAACATGGTCCCCCACCCTCTGTGCCACCCACCCACGCCCCTCCCTTTTCGCCAGCAGAAGTCAGCTCGTTCATCATCACCCCTCCCTCTGTGCTGCCTGCCCTCTGGTTCACGTTGCAGGGTACTGGACAGCTGGCACGTGTGTCCCTTCCCTGGGTGACACAGTCCTCATAAGCTAAGACTGCTTCTTACTCCTCCTTGTCCTTGGAGACAGGGGAGCGCCTTGCACTCAGTAGAAGCTTAAGTTGTACCTGAGAGTGACCACCTGAGGTCTTGAGAAAAGATGCTGGGAGGGCAGCCTACGCCATCCAGGGAGGGTGGGCTTGCATCTCAGTGCTGTACCAGACTATGCCTCTCGGTGGATGGAAGACAAGGGGTCTCCTGCCTCCACGTTGTTACCTGTTGACCACATTTTTATCGTGACTCATTTCACCATAGCCCAAAATAACTGCTGTCTCATGGCCACCAGGACTCGAGGCTCTGGTAGAGTTCGAGGAGAACCAAGCCGCCACAGGGCAGCCTGTCAGCGGGGAAGGGCTCCGGACTGAGGCACTCACCCCGTGGGGCTGCTTCTGACCTTGCTAAGACTGTCCCACACGTGTCACCCAGGGAGCCCCAGAGCTGAAGTGAGCAGAGAGAAAAGGGGTTCAGATGGAAAGAGGTAGGCACGGAGCTGAGTGGGCATCTGACCAAGGGTCTTGAGAGCAAAGAGGCTGGAAGTGCGTGTGGGGTGCTGACGAGTGGAGGCCCTCAGTGGCTGTGACTGGTGGAGGAGAGGTCAGCTGGGAGGGGTGTGGGACCACGAGCTGTTGTCCCTGCCTGCTGCCGTGCCCATCTGTCTAGATCGCGACACCCCAGGCCTGCGCAGCTGTAGGAAGAGGAGCGAGCAGCAGCGCTCCCCACTCAGCCCCGCTGCCCGCATGGCTGGCCGCAGGGCCCCTTTCTGTGCTGTCCCTGCCGTCAGGGGCTCACCGATTCATTAGCTTCATTAATCCAATTCTCCAGTCCAACACGACATCACTTAGGTTTGCAAGAGGAAGAAGTGGGGAGCGCTAACCAGATTGGTCTAGATGTGACCCTGGTCATCCAGCTCCGTCCCCAGATACCTCCCATTGCCCGAGGCCAGCAGCAGTGGGGGTATGGTAGGTCTGAGGGGTGGCTCTGGCTGTCTGGGGCTCTCCTTGGGGTAGGGAGCCTAGGCAGGCGAGCCCTAGTTTCCACATCTGTAAAATGGGAACATTGAGAGGAACCCCGCCACAGCTTCTCTCCCTGATGTGTTCAGGAGGAGCCCCTTAGAGCCACATCTCTGAGATGAACAGAGCTGGACATCTGGGCATCACAGAGGATGAAGCAAGACCCAGTGCCATCAGGGTGGCTGTTAAGGCTGACACAGCCACAGAGTGACATAAGCGAGATACCACCCAGCGCTCCTTCAGTAACAGCACCAGCTTCCCCCCCTCCCCACCCACCCGGAGGCCCATCCCAGCCAGAAGCAGGTCACCAGAAGGGCCTTTCCACTGCCCTGTCCCTCAGGGAGAAAAGGATCCCAACTCCCAGAGGCCCTTCCCCACTGACAAGTAGACGGTGGTGGATGATGTTTGTCAGGCAAGCCAGCCAGGACCAGGCCTGTGTGCCACTGCGGAGGGACAGCTGGGCGGGCTCAAGGATCGGCAGCTTCTTCCTGCCATCGGTCTGTGTTGGTGTGTGAGGCTCTGAGGGTAGAGGCTTCCTCTCGGTTGTCATGGAAATGGCAGCAAGTCTGCTGAGTGTCTGGGTACTAAGCTCAGCAGAGGGAGGGGAGCAGCCACCCCGGGTGGCAACTACTATCACAGACTGAGCATCTCAGCATTGGGAAGGACCTGAGGACTGTCATGGTCCTGAGCCCACGAGCACAGAGGGCAGCTCAGAGGCCTTCTCACCCATCATCTCCCTGCGGGTGGCTGCCCTCTTATTCACACAGGGTTAGGTGATTCCATCCAGGTGCTGGGTGAGCCAAGCACACAGGCCCCGCCCTCCAGGAGACACTTTCCATGAGGGGGCACGATTTCCGTGGGGCGGGTTCGGGGGTGGAGAAACGGATTCTGGGAGGCGACTGCCAAGAGCTGGAGCTGCCTGGGGAGGCCCAGGCTCCCAGTCCCATCCCTGTAGGCGTGAATAGATGACTCAGACTCCTCCACCTGCTCCCTCACTGGGCCTCTGCCGAGAAGGAGCAGCCTGCCGCCTGGCTGCATTGCTTTTGTCTGTCTGCCCATCTCTGTGTTCTGCTTTCGGCCCCCATACACATCATGAGCCCCTTGAGGACAGAGGAGGGTGTATAATGGCCTCCCTCCCAGGCTCAAAAGCAGAGTAGCTGCCACAATCTCCAGGCCCCAGCCAGGCAAGAGAAGCAATCACACAGCGCAGTAGCCAAGGGAGACCAAGGAAATCTCGGGCACTGGGGCAGAGCCCAGCTACTGCCCTGATGTCCATGTGGGATGTGGTGGGGCCCAGAGGACAGGAGGAGGCCATCAGGAGAAGCTTCTTAGAAGAAATAAATGGCAAAGGATGAACCCAGTGCTCAGGACAGCATGAGCATGGTGGTAGTGCCAGCCACACACAGACACCAGATTGCTCCAGGGTCCCCCAGGAACAGTGGTTCAACAGAGGAAGTAATAGGCCTAGGATCACAGTACAGTTAGGCGGCAGATGCAGTCTGGCGCCCCAGCCAGCAGTGCACTTCTGTGCAAATGGTGTCTCTACTCCACCCCACCCCACCCCACCCAGCCGAGGTCCTGACAGCCCTGGTTCCTAACAGTCCCACATCCTCTGGGGTGGGCTATCTGATATCTGAGCTCTCCTGTTTCCAACCAGAGGCCTGCAATCAGGGCACCAGAGAAGCCACAGGATATTGCCTGGTTCCAGGGCCCAGGCTTACATCCTCGGGTGGGTCTAGTCTCACCCATAACACAATGGGACCCTTACCTGGAGCACCCAGGAAACTACAGACATTGCTCCTAGCATTGATGCAGAGCACTGGTTTGGCCAGGACACCAGCGCCCGAGGCTCCCCCTCTTTACCCCGTATCCCCTGGGGTTCACTTCTCCCCTGTGCCATGAAGGAGTACACGCAGCTGCATTTCTGGTTGCCAAGGGGTCTCCTCTCCTGCTCCTCCAGCTGCCACTGTCCCAGGCCCTGCCTGGGAGTCCCTCAGCTTCCTTCCCTCCATGTAAACTAGGTTCCGGTGCCTACCAGGTTGTCTGCCTTTTGACCCATGAGGCAGTAGCAACCTGAAACACTGGAAGTCTAGGGTCCCAGCCAGTCAAAACGCCTCTACAGGATATATGGCCAGCAGTGCAGGGAACATGGTGTGCGGCCAGGAGACCAGATGACCACAGCTAGTAACAACGGCTCCATGACAGCGGATCTGGGGTCAGAAGGAGGTACTGGAGGAAGAGATGGCCAGTCAGCAGGACAGTTGGCCTGGAGCCAGGGTGGAACAGTGTGGTGTGGAAGGCTCCCCTCCTGCATGGATGGGGCGCTTCAGACTGGGCTGGATCCTGGACAAACATGACGCATGTGGGGGTCGGAGGATGCCGAGCACTGAGGGGAGCTCGGTGCAGCTGGAACCTGTGCACAGTGACCAGAGTGGGCGCCTAAGGGAGTCTAGGAAAGTCCGCCAGGGCCAAATCCTGAAGCATAGGGAGGACGTCACATGGGGACCATGGCAAGGACTTAAGAGCGGGGCTGGCTCGTCGGAAAGCAGAGGGGACCGTGGCTGGGTTCTCCAGATCTCCAGCTAGAGAGAGCTGCTCCCTGGGACACCATACTCATGCGGGACACTTCAGTAGAGAGAGAAAATAACATCCTGACAGAAACAGATTCTAACGCCCAGCTTGCTGATCCGATCTGGCCCTTGCTCCTCCCGTGTGAAAGGTCACCCTGACCAGGAAAGCTGTTTGAGACAACTGCCTGGCCACAATTCGTCGCTGTGGCTGTTACTCCTCTGGAAGGAGAGCAGAGCGTCCTAACATTGACTGGCATCTTTGTGACAGCAGCATAGGGCCTTGTGCCGAGATGAGGGTCTGCTGGTTCCAGCATCCTCCTTAGCCCCAGAGCCCAGCCTGCCCCCCGCTTTCGGCAGCACCTTTCCCTCCTCCACTGCCTTCGTGCCCCGGTCCTGCCTGGCCAGGCTTCCAGTGGCCACTGCCTTCCCTAGCCCTCCTTTGGGGACAGCCCCTAAGCCCTTCAGAACACAGCTGGTAGGAGACCTCTACCCTAGCAGTCCCCAACCTTTTTGGCACCAGGGTCCGGTGCTCCTATGAGAATCTAATGCCTGATCTGAGGTGGAGCCGAGATGATGATACCGGTGCTGAGGAGCGGCTGCAAATCCAAATGAAGCTTTGCTCGCTCTCCTGCTGTGCGGCCCAGTTGCTTACACGCCACAGACCGGTACCGGTCCAAGGCCCAGGGGTTGGAAACCCCTGCTCTACCCTGTTCC